CTAACATGAGCCTCACTATCCTCGTAAAAACTTATTACTGTCTTCAATAACCTACCTCCTATTCCATACATTTGCAACATCTGCCACATTGCCCCCCTATCCATCCTATCATATGCCTTTTCCAAATCCTTAAATGCCACACAAACCTCTTTACCCTTATCCAAATACTGTTCACCTATGTGTTTCACTGCAAACACTTGGTCTACACACCCCCTACCTTTCCTAAAGCCTCTTTGTTCATCTGCTATCCTGCTCTCCATCTTACTCATAATTCTATCAATAATAACTCTGCCATACACTTATCCAGGTATACTCAACAGATTTGTTCCCCTATAATTTTTACACTCTCTTTTGTCCCCTTTGCCTTTATACAAAGGAACTATGCATGCTCTCTGCCAGTCCCTAGGTACCTTACCCTCTTCCATACATTTATTAAATAAAAACACTAACCACTCCAAAACTATATCCCCACCTGCTTTTAACATTTCTGTCTTTATGCCATCAATCCCAGCTGCTTTACCCTCTTTCATTCTTGTTTTTAAACAAACTGGCCATATCCCACCAAGGCAGAGTGACCTAAAAATAAAAACTAAAGTTTTTCCTTTTAAATTTAGTAACTTATACAGGAGAAAGGGTTACTAGCCCCTTGCTCCCAGTGTTTTAGTTGCCTCTTATGCTACTATATGATTAAAATTTTTGTGCAGTATACTATATATATACAGTGTTCTTATACACAGGATGGCCCTGCTTATAAAGCAGATTAGGTTCTGGGCTCCTGCTGTAAAGTGAAAATTGCTGTAAAGTGAAACACATGCTTTCAAATGCATATAAAAGCCTGATAACATGTTTACATTGTCATATTAATTAAACAGTATAGCTAGGACTAAAATGCATATACAGTACACACATTACTTACCTTAAAATATTTTCATCTTTAGCTATGATTATTGGTGAATATAATTATTATGAAAGAGTGGGAGAGGCACTGTCAAGAAATTTTAATGAAAATAAAAAAAATTTGGAGTGAGTTAAACAAGATAAGAAAGCCTAGGGAAAGTATGGATTTGTCAGTTAAAAACAGAGTAGGGGAGTTAGTAGATGGGGAGAGGGAGGTATTAGGTAGATGGCAGAATATTTTGAGGAACTTTTAAATGTTGAGGAAGAAAGGGAGGCGGTAATTTCATGCACTGGCCTGGGAGGTATACCATCTTTTAGGAGTGAAGAAGAGCAGAATGTAAGTGTGGTGGAGGTAAGTGAGGCATTACGTAGAATGAAAGGGGGTAAAGTAGCTGGAACTGATGGGATCATGACAGAAATGTTAAAAGCAGGGGGGGATATAGAGTTGGAGTGGTTGGTACTTTTGTTTAATAAATGTATGAAAGAGGGGAAGGTACCTAGGGATTGGCAGAGAGCATGTATAGTCCCTTTATATAAAGGGAAAGGGGACAAAAGAGATTGTAAAAATTATAGAGGAATAAGTTTACTGAGTATACCAGGAAAAGTGTACGTAGGGTTATAATTGAAAGAATTAGAGGTAAGACAGAATGTAGGATTGCGGATGAGCAGGGAGGTTTCAGAGTGGGTAGGGGATGTGTAGATCAAGTGTTTACATTGAAGCATATATGTGAACAGTATTTAGATAAAGGTAGGGAAGTTTTTATTGCATTTATGGATTTAGAAAAGGCATATGATAGAGTGGATAGAGGAGCAATGTGGCAGATGTTGTAAGTATATGGAATAGGTGGCAATTTACTAAATGCTGTGAAGAGCTTTTATGAGGATAGAGAGGCTCAGGTTAGGGTGTGTTGAAGAGAGGGAGAATACTTCCCGGTAAAAGTAGGTCTTAGACGGGGATGTGTAATGTCACCATGGTTGTTTAATATATTATAGATTGGGTTGTAAAAGAAGTAAATGCTAGGGTTTTCGGGAGAGGGGTGGGATTAAATTATGGGAATCAATTCAAAGTGGGTAATTATATCAGTTATTTTGCTAGATGATACTGTGCTTATGGGAGATTCTAAGAAGAATTGCAATTATAAGTGTGAGAGTTTTAGAATGTGTAGTAAAGCTCAGGTAGAAGTTGAAAGTGAAACATAGAAAAGAGTTAGAGGATGTGTAATCAAATGATTTAAATAAAGAAAAATTGGATATTCAAATTTGGGGATAGGTGTAATGGGAAGAAGTAATGTTTTCAGATACTTGGGAGTTGAACGTGTGCAGGTATGGATTTATGAAGATGTGGTTAATAGTAGAAATTGATGACGGATAAAAAGGTAGTGGTGCTTGAGGGTATCAAATGTTGATCAAAAAAACGTTATCTATAATGGCAAAGGAGGGAATGTATGAAGTATAGTAGTATCAACACTCTGATGATGTGCGATGAACTATGGGTGGTAAATGCATGCATGAGGGAGGTGAGTGGTGTGAGGCATGTGGAGAATGTCTGTCTAAGGGGCAAAGTGTGGGATGTAAATATATAGCAGTAAAATCGGAGTGTGGGTAAATTAGGAGAAGGTGTGGAGTTAATAAAAGCATTAGTCAGAGGGCAGAAGAGGGGTTGTTGAGGTGGTTTGGTCATTTAGAGAGAATGGATCAAAGTAGAATGACATGGAAAGCATATAAATCTATAGGGAAGGAAGGAGGGGTAGGGGTCGTCCTCGAAAGGGTTGGAAAGAGGGGGTAAAGGAGGTTTTGTGGGCGAGGGGCTTGGACTTCCAGCAAGGTGCATGAGCGTGTTAGATAGGAGTGAACGGAGACGAATGATACTTGGGACCTGACGATCTGTTGGAGTGTGAGCAGGGTAATATTTAGTGAAGGGATTCAGGGAAACTAGGTTATTTTCATATAGTCGGACTTGAGTCCTGAAATGGAAGTACAATGCCTGCACTTTAAAGGAGGGGTTTGGGATATTGGCAGTTTGGAGGGATATGTTGTGTTTCTTTATACGTATATGCTTCTAAACTGTTGTATTCTGAGCACCTCTGCAAAAGCAGTGATAATGTGTGAGTGTGGTGAAAGTGTTGAATGATGATTAAAGTATTTTCTTTTTGGGGATTTTCTTTCTTTTTTGGGTCACCCTGCCTCGGTGGGAGACGACCGACTTGTTGAAAAAAAAAAAAATTAAGGGAAACCGGTTATTTTCATATAGTTGGACTTGAGTCCTGGAAATGGGAAGTACAATGCCAGCACTTTAAAGGAGGGGTTTGGGATATTGGCAGTTTGGAGGGATATGTTGTGTATCTTTATACGTATATGCTTCTAAACTGTTGTATTCTGAGCACCTCTGCAAAAGCAGTGATAATGTGTGAGTGTGGTGAAAGTGTTGAATGATGATGAAAGTATTTTCTTTTTGGGGATTTTCTTTCTTTTTTGGGTCACCCTGCCTCGGTGGGAGACGGCCGACTTGTTGAAAAAAAAAAAATAAAAAAATAATTATTGTGGGAAGTCTGAATAAATGAAGAATGTGTATAATTAAAAATTGCTGTATTAGCGACATGCTGTGCAGCGGGACCTGCCTTTATACATGGTTACATGTACGTACTCCAATCCTTTGATTGTCACATGTTAGTTTTGATTAAATTTTTTACAACTTATTATGTGGCATAAGGAGGGAAGTTTTCTAAATCTTAAATACATGTAATGCTATTAGCAAAAAAAAAGTTCTCCAAAATCAGATGATAGATAATTTAGATGATGGATAATTCAGAGGATTGATATTTCAAATGATTAGTAATTCAGATGATAGATAATTTACTAGATGAATTTCGATTGAAAATATTTCGTAGCATTTTTTTAAATAATTGACAGTTAATGATTTAAAAAAATTAGTAATCTGCCATTTGCTACCAAGCAGCATTTTTTATAATAATTGATCTGATTTATTTATATCTGTTTTGAAAAATGATTATTTATTATGCACGGCATAATACAAAATAACACTGTTAATGGAAGGTTAACTTGTTTTATTAATATATTACTTACATAATAGGTTCATTTTTTGTGTATGTTGAGGCTTAAGTAACTTTTTTCATGTGTTGGAGGTACTTGAGTTACAATACACAAAGGGTAGAGAGTAGAACATGGATGGATAGAGGTGCTACAGCAAGCTTTGTTATTCATTACATTTGTTACACATGGAGTAAGAGTTTGCATGTTCACATGGTTATCACATTTGTTAAACAAACACACACACACACACACACACACACACACACACACACACACACACACACACACACACACACACACACACACTCACTCACACACACACACACACACACACACACACACACACACACACACACACACACACACACACACACGCACGTACGTACGTACATATGTTATTTTACAAATTTTAAATTTTATTTTGCATGTTAGTGCATCAGTTGTCTGGGAACTAGTCATCCATAAACACTACAGTCAGTGTTATTAGTAATGTCTTTTATTTAATGTTCTTTTTGTGTGATGACACTCGTGCATGGAAAAAGTACACACAAAACTTATTTCCTTGAAGCTGTTTCCCAGAGTTTTGTTTGATTATAATATGCAGGTGACTTCCAGGTATCTTTGTCTGGAGCCATGACATAGAAGTGATCAGCTTCATGCATACCACAAGTTTGTCACTAAGCCAGACATGGCTTAGTAACAAACTTGTGTCACTTGGGTTAGAATCAGAGGATACTGTATATTATTACTATCTGAGCCATTGTATCCTCAAGCAGATATATTACCAATTCTTCTATAAATGACTCAAATCACAGCTCACAATTATCCCACAATATGTTTAGAGAACTTCAATAATGTTTCTGCTCATTCTGGACCCAAATTATGGTTAACTATGCCCCCAGATAATTGTAGCATTAATCAAATACATTTTACCACTTATTTTTGACTGAAAGAACACAGTAGTTTTCATAACAGTTGATGTTGTCACTAATGAGTTTGGTAAGTTGAATACATGTCATGCCACTTACTAAGTGTTAATGCATACCTCACAGGGAGAGTGACAGCCACTTGGTTTAATGCAGCCATTCAGCGTGTCACACTTGTCATTGAAAATGGTAACAATCGGAAACCTGGTATTTAGAATTAGTCTTGGCTATAAAATCCTTGCTTTTACATTTCTCACTCTTCTCCTCTTTCATAAATATGAGTGTAAGGATTGGAATTTGGCAAATTTAAGAAATTTCAATTTGAAAATATTGAATTTTATGTCAAAGACAATTTTTCAATATAACACACACAGTTTTACAATTTATACTAAAAATTTGTAATTTTTTACCCAATAATTTAAAGGCCAGATGTCCAAGAATTATTTGTTCTTTTAAATATACTTTTCAGTTTATGCACAATATATACTAGAGTATTTTACTCATTAAATGTAGATTTGTCTTAAAAAGTTATATGAACAAGCTTATCTTTTCGTAACTTTAAATTTGTTTAATGTAATAAATCTTTAATTGTTGCTAGATATTAATACTGGTTTCCTTTGAACATGTTGGTGGTGGTCCTAACAATTAAGTTTTTTATGGATTTTTGTATATTTCTTATAGATTAATTTTTGTATGTTTATATTATCGGTTCTAGTACCCATATTTTCTTTCCTTCTTCATCTCCGAGTCAATTATATATATACTTCCCATCTATATTTAGTAAAACACAATCATTTTTTCTTTATTTGATTTACCTTGGGTCTCACTATAGTTATGTACAACTAGCATCTTCATTCTTCCTTTTCTACTAGGTAAGTGCAAGTTACATATATTGGCATATATTTATTAAGTTACTCTTAATATTGATACCTCGTTTTCTTGGAACTTCAGTATCACACATGCAAACCTTAATGAACATCATAGCTTTTATGTATTGTATGCTCTCAGTATCTGTCACTTTTGCATTTGTATTTTGTTTTATCCTGTTGACTGTTATCCACAAACTGGGCTCATTGTTCCATGACAGCATAACCTTTTATGCCATTATCCAACAAACTTGGCTTCCAGTTCCATGGCTTGTATATGTTATTATGCTGCCATGATCCACAAGTTGAGCTTCTGGAGCCTTGATCCACTTTTCCTTACATCCCCTTGTTTAACTATTCTATATATTAGGTGACCTGTTTTTACTATAATCTTTTTTCTACAACTACAACTAATCTGTATTTAAGCAAAATGTTTGACCAATACTGTGTGTGGGACTGGGGGACTCAGAATGCCATTTATTTTTGTCTTTGAATCACAGTTCAGTATTTAGTGTTGAGATTCGTCAAAAGCCTCAGAAACTAATAGAAAAACAAAATTGGGTATGCACAATGACTGTAGTTGTTGTTTTCAAAATTGATGACCAGCCTTTTACATATATACAAGACATAGAACTTCTAGGGATTGTGTTAGAGTTGCTGCTGATGGAACAGAAGTCTGTAGACTACATGTAGATAATTCTGAGAATTACTGAAATACTTGTTTTTATTATAAAAGTTTATATTACTTTACAGTGTAAGTTTACTAATACTGTATACCTGAGACATTGCTTTGAAAACTACTAATGTATTTTAAATATTGCTTTCAAAGCTAATTCTTTGCACACAAAATATAATTTGCTATGCTTAATATAGAAAGGTATTTAGTATGGCTAATTTAGTGACTAAGATTGTACTGATATAAACAAAAGCTGTCTTGTGATAAAAACTGACACAGTACTGTACTTTAACACAATTTTAGCATCCAGTATAAATTTATTCTGATGCTCTTAGAAATTAGATTAGCTATTAACTAATCCTAGCCTTCAGACAGCACTGGTTCACCTACATGCCGCAACTATACTACACTTATTATTAATATTTTAATATAGAGTGCTAAATCCATAAGGGCTATACCATAAAAAAATGGGAGGTAGTCAGGTTTAATTCAAGGAAGGGGAAGTTAATTTCAGTTCCTTGGATCATAAGCTATTAGAGAGCATCAAAGCATCCCTTTTTAAAGGGTGCTACTAGAGTGTAGTGAATGCTGTACAATCGCACTTTATCTGATACACTTGTGTTTAAATATAGAGAGTCCCCTGAATGAGCTGTAGTGACGCTTCTAAGCTTTGCTTGCATGGCACCGCATCTGCATGCTTTATATATATTGGTAAGTCATTTTTTTACTCACTTGGTTTGCAATTAGCTCTCAAAAGATTCAAGACAAACACTGAATAGTCATAGATTTTGGGGAAAAGGATCAGTTATAAGAATATTTCTTAATAAATAGGTTTAAAAGCAAACAGTTAAAGCTGTTTCTGTTTTATTTTTTGCAGCCTTAAATATTTCAGAAATATATTTAGTTACAATATTTTAACCCTTGAACTGTCCCAACATAGATCTACATTCACTCGCATAGCGCTCTTAATATTTTAATTTTTTTTTTAAATGAAGAGTGCATTTTTCTACATGTTATAGGATAAAAAATTTTTTTTAGGGTCAGTACTACTTACCGAGATATAAGGCTGCGAAGTTGGCGCTGGATGCTCACCTGATGGCAGCATTGAGTCCTGCCGCTTACAGAAGTGTTGCCGATATACCTTTTTTACCCGTTTTTATTTTAATTTATATAATTTTTATGTTCTGATAATTACAATTTATAATAGTTTTTGTGATTTCATAGTTAGTCTTTGTTCTGATACTAATATTAGGTACTGAAATAGTACTCAAATAGTCACAATCACACTGACAGATGAACATTTTCACCTGCCCTGGTCATTTACTATTGTCTAGAAATATATACAAAGTATTTATAGGTCTCAGCAATGTTTTAGACATGCTGGAGTATATATGAAACTCGAAGCACGGTGTTATGACGAGTGTCAGTAAACTGCTGACAGTGCAGTGACACTTGATGAACGTGCACTGCTCCAGGGAACCCTGGCTTTATTTGTTTCCACTGTTACACACAAACATGTCTGTCTGTCTGTCTAGCTCTGCTTATCTGTCTGCCTGTGTGTGTCTTTCCATCTGCTTGTCTCTCTGTCTCAGGGAACAACTAAACCTCTTGGTTTATGAGCCTCTCCCTGATTCCTGAGCAAGTTAAAATGCATATTACTTGCGTCATGCTTGTTATACCTTATATCTACAAGCACTGTATAGTACTTTGCCTGGAATTTTTGGGTTATCCTAGGTAATTTACACTATGTATAATAACTGTGTACTTATGTGTACCTGTGAGAGACAGAGATAGAGAAAGACAAAGATATAGACAGAGATAAAGACAGAGACAGATACAGACAGAGAGACAGCCAAAGTCAGTCAGCCAGCTAGCCAGCCACCTAGCCGGCTGGCCACCCAGCCAGCCAGCCTGCCAAATACATATTACACATGTTCCAGAATCATTTCTCTTCACATAGGGCATAGGTTATTGGGCATTCTGGCAAGATAACACTACCAGTGGTATCAGAAATGAAAGGATGTTGCATGTGGGTTATTATTGAGGTTTTTGATATTTCTTAGACCGCTTGTGGCCACATCCATCTCAAAGCCACTAAACTTTGGGTCAACATCATTTTCCTCTTAAAAGGGGAGTGTTAATACGACATAACATCAATGAATCCCTGGTGTTTGCCACGTTATTTGCTCTAGCTGGCTCTCAATTGAACTGGTGCTCCCACAAGGTACTAAGCGGTCCCAGATTTTTTTAATACTGCACACACCGAGTGTTAGGACCCATTCTATATTGACCAGGCATCTCAGGCCAATTGTGCCAAATTTGGAGGCAGGAAAAATAAAACGTAGATCTATGTTTGGATCACTGGCGGTACAAACATAGATCTACATTTGGACCGTTTAAGGGTTAAGAGTGAAAATTATATATAACTCAAGTCAAATAAGATTTGTCAAACCAGTATATATATAAAATTAGTTAATTTGAAAAATATACATACATAAAACATTTTGAAATGTGTAAAAACTATATAAATGCATTTTTATTGATTTTGTTTATTTTTTAAGTACTCTAAATAATATATAAATGTTAAATTAGCTTTTATTATTAATACTATATATTTTTGACAAATTATTGAACTTCATGCAATAGCCAAGGGTGCAGTGTCTAACCAGCTACAGTCATCAACACCACGACGTGTTCCACTTCAGAGAAACATCGGATGTTTTCTTCTCATGCAGCAGTTCAGGGCAATGCTTGTCAAAAAGATCCTCTACACATTTAGAAACATACTTCTGACTCTAGCCCAGGTATGTATATTCTCAAACTGAGTGCAATATGAGTGCTCAGAGATTGGGTCTTTATTTACATATTAGTAACTAGCAATTTAGTAAAGTCTTTACCCTGAGTATATCACTTCTTGGTTCTTTGCTTTTCCTCATATGCACTAATGACCTTCCCAGTGAATCTCAATTACTTAAACCAGTTCTGTTTGCAGATAACACTTGTTATCTCCCACTCAAAGATGAATTCTCTCAGTAACATTATTAATGAGAAGCTCATAAAGGTATCTACTTGGATGATGACCAATAAACTCGCTCTTAACATTGACAAGACCTTATACATGATGTTTGGAAAGAGAGGTGCAAATATGTAACTAAATACAGTAGGGCCCCACTTATATGGCAGGTTAGGTTCAAGGCTACTGCCAGAAAGCAGACATTGCCGGAAAGCAGAATGCCATTTTTTTCCACTTATAAATGCATATAAATGCCACATAACAAGTTTACACTAACATATTAAGTTAGCAGTAGAGCTAGGCATTAAAAAACATTAAAAAAGTAAATACACACACAGTACCCACATTATTTACCTCAAAATATTTGTAGTCTTAATGTAGGGCAAAAGGTGAGTAGTATTTACTGTAAGAAGTCAGGTGTGGTAGTCCTCCTGGCCACCCCCACCCACACATTATATACTACGATGATGCTTAAAGCTCCCTAGAGTGATAAAATGCATATACAGTACACTCATTACTCACTTTAAAATATTTGTAGTCTAAATGGTCTTAATGTAGGGCGAGAGGTGAAAAGGTATATAGTAGGCACAATAATAAGTGTATATTGTGTATATTAAGTTCAAGCTTTTGAAGAGTGGTAGGGGGTGTGTGTGTTTTTTTTTTTTTTTTTTTTTTTTTTACACAGGGTTTGACAAGGTTAAGGGTCCCTAGCTTTATTGACAAGCTATTTACAGGTTAAGGATTCCTAACTTTATTGGCAAGCTAAGAGCTGTTACCTACATCAGCTCATTTGAAAGCATTTTTATTGTTATGAGACATACAAGTAGGGAACAGGATGAAGTTGGAGCCATTTGTGGGCCAGCATTTTCATTTGATCAACTGACTTTTATTATTTATTTTTTTATTTATTATAAATTTGAGCACACATACAGAGGTACAAAAAAATACAGATAAGAGCAGCATGCCAAAGCCACTTATACTATGCACAGCATTACGGGCTGGCTTAAAATTAACTTAAGATTAACTAAGCAATGATGAAGTCAGTGATAAAACATTAATGTAAACAGATTACTATAAAGCACAAGTGAGTATTACAAAGACAGGTCATATGGTTGCATTCAGTCATATGAAGGATTCTGTTAGGTAGTGTATTTAAAAAATAATAAAGTTAGATTCGGTTTTAGGTTTAACTATCTCGTTTACATCATTATGCTGTACGAATGTGTTCCATACTCGAGTCATCCTGGGTATATATGATCTCAGATGGAGTGATGTTCTGGAGAAGGGTACAGCCAGAGTGAAGTTGCTGCTTTCTGCCCGTCTTGTGCATAAAAGCTTGTTTCACACGCTGTCCTCGAAGTGGATCCAAGTGTGGTACTTTGACAATATTGGCCTTGTACATAACAGTAAGGCCACCCACATCCCTCCTATGTTGAAGGCTCTGCTGAAATGACAGATTTATCCAGGATGGGTCCAGGCGAGAGATGAGACGTCTTGCTCTGTTCTCTACACTGTCAAGCAGTCGTAGATGGGGGGGGGGGCAGGCAAACCAAGAAAGTGGAGCATACTCAAGGTGTGAGTGTACTTGTGCCTCGTACAGAATCTTGCAACCCCTACTGTCAAGCAGATGCGAGATACGGCGAAGTGCTGTAAGCTTTCTGGCTGCCTTGTTTGCAAGATTTACAACATGGTTCTTTATGGTTAGTTTGGGGTCAAATTTCACCCCAAGGATATCAACTTCTTCTCCAAGTGCCAACACCCTCCCATTCATCCTTACTACTGCACCAGCATTACCATCATGGTGCCTAGAGACGATCATCATTTGCGTTTTCTCAGGTGCAAATGTTACTTGCCAATTTGGATTTAGGAAAAATAAAAGCACTAATGATGCAATCATAAAAATGCTAGATCTGCTTTACACAGCATTGGAAAATAAGGAATATCCACTAGGAATTTTTATTGACCTAAGAAAAGCTTTTGACACAGTAGACCATGACATCCTACTCCACAAACTTGACCATTACGGCATAAGAGGCCATGCGCTTGCTTATTTCAAATCTTACCTTACTAATAGGTATCAGTATGTTACCATTAAAGACACAGCATCAACAACACGGCCACTTGATACTGGAGTTCCGCAGGGAAGTGTCCTTGGTCCCCTGCTCTTCCTCATATACATCAGTGATCTTCCAAACGTATCCCAACACCTGAAACCCATTCTCTTTGCTGATGACACGACTTATGTCATCTCTCACCCTAATCTTGCCACCCTCAACACCATTGTTAATGAGGAGCTGATCAAAATATCGACTTGGATGACAGCCAATAAACTTACGCTTAACACTGACAAAACCTACTATATTATGTTTGGTAGCAGAGCAGGATATGCACAAATTAACATTAAGATCGACAACACTCTAATTACCAGACATAATGAGGGCAAATTCCTAGGCCTATACCTTGACAACAACCTGAATTTCAGCACCCATATCCAACACATAACCAAAAAAGTATCCAAAACAGTTGGGATCCTCTCCAAGATACGATACTACGTGCCGCAAAATGCCCTTCTCACACTATACCACTCACTTATTTATCCATACCTCACCTATGCTATTTGTGCTTGGGGATCAACTGCAGCAACACATCTAAAGCCAATAATAACCCAACAAAAGCTGCAGTAAGAATAATCACTAAATCCCATCCCTGGCAACACACCCCCCCCCACTCTTCATAGATCTAAACTTACTCCCTGTTCAGTACATCCACACTTACTACTGTGCAGTCTACATCTACAGGACCTTAAACTCCAATATCAACCTTGACCTAAAACGCTTTCTTGATAGTTGTGACAGAACCCACAGGCATAACACCAGACACAAACATCTCTACGACATTCCCCATGTCCGACTAAACCTTTACAAAAATTCAATGTATGTCAAAGGCCCTAAAATCTGGAACACCCTACCTGAGAACTCTAAAACTGCAGACACATTCATCACCTTCAAAACTACCATTAGAAAACATCTTATCTCCCTGATAAACCCCATCAACTAACTACACGAATACCACCTGGTGTTTCACACTTACACTCACTCACCCATTTGACCATAAACAGAAATATTAATCTCAATCTTAAAATAATGAATCCTATGATACTCCAATACTGAAACTATGTACTGTGCCAAAACAAAAGCATTCACATTGCTAAACTCACAAACTAGTATTTAGTCACTTGGCCATAATACCAACTTACCTCATAATTTGTAATATTTTAAAATAAAGAATTAATCTAAGTCTTCCCGAAATGCCTAGCCATGCTAGGCGTTCTAGTGGTACACTCTGTAATCATTATTTAACTACATGTAAACCACACAACAACCAAATTCTGTAAATTCAACATTGTAATCTTTATAGAGAATAAACTTTGAATTTGAATTTGAATTTGAATCTATTTCCCCAAGCTGATATAGCTCTCAGCTGGTGATTGATGTAGCTTAGAGCAGCTGGCATTTCTTCTCTTGGATAAGTGAATGTCAGTGTACAGTCATCTGCATATGCATGTGATTCTGGGATGAGATGAAGAAGGTCGTTGAAGTAGACATTCCATAACAATGGTACAGCACGCTTCCTTGTGGAACACTTGTCCCAGTAGGATGTCTTGCTGATTCCGTTCCATTGAGAGCTACTCTTAGAGATCTACCATGAAGGTAATCACTGAGGAGACATAACGTAGAGCCTGCAATTCCCAGTGCTTGAAGTTTTGCTAAGAGGCCCTGGTGCCACACCCGGTCAAAAGTGCCAGCAATGTCTAGTGCTACCACACAGCTGACTTTGGATTCATCCAGTGACTGGTGCCACTTAGTGGAGAGGTTTAACAACAGAGTAACCTTTCCTGAAGCCATATTGGCGATCACAAAGTAGTGAGTGGTAGTCAAAAAACTCTGTCATTTGTCTTGAGATTATTGTCTCAAGGATCTTACCAGTGATTGACAGGAGTGACACTGGTCTGTAGTTGCTGATTTCTTCTCTGCTCTTCTTTTTGTGAACAGGGACTACATTTGCCTCTCCATAGAGACGGTCATTTACACTGTATTAGGCAGTGCTGAAAGATGCGAGTTAGAGGTGCTGCTAGCTGGTCTGCACATCTTCTCAGCAATCCTGGGCTCATCTGGGCCCACAGCCTTTTCTTGGTCAAGAGATTTAAGAAGGAAATGCACCTCCTCCTGCCTTATTGTCACCACTGACAGTTTTGACACAGTTCTTGCAGCTAGCCAAGGAGGGTCCCTTGCTGGATCAGGAACTTGCATTTTGGTAGCAAAGTGTTCAGCAAAGAGGTCCGCCTTCTCTTGACTACTAGTAGAGGTGGTCCCATCCTGTCGATTTAGAGGTGGAATGAGTTCATCAGGCAGATAACCTTGTCTGTCCTTGACCATGGACCACCAGGTTTTGGAGCCTACCCTACCTGATGCTAGCTTTCTTTTAGTGTCCACCTCCCATTTAGCAATGGGCCACTTTTGAACGTCACCCATATGCCTACAGGCTTGCCTGTGCAAGTTCCTGGTATAGGTGGTAGGATGTCTCTTATACCTTCGCCATGCTTTGTACTTAGGCAGTAGCAGCCTCTCTACAACGAAAGCCAAACCAAGGCTGATCTGTAGGCTTCGTCACATATTGCCGGTGAGGAATGTGTTCTTGTTGTAGATTAAGGATGTGTCCAGTGAAGGCTTTCACTTGGTTGTCAACATCCCCTTGGAGAAGAGCATTCCAATCGTGGTGGCGAGCTTAGAG